AAGATCTGTCTGACATGTTTACTTGAAGTATTACAAGTTCTTATTAAAAAAGCTACAATTCGATTTTGCCAAACCGTTCGTACATATATGCATATTGCAGCTTTATAATTTGTGGCATGGGATCAAAACATACCTAGCTGCAATATGTAAAAGGGCCCCGTGAGGAAAACGAACACTGAACAGATACACACAGAAAGCAACACGAAATAAGCAGCAAACAATAATAATGTTATTGTGCTACATGTTTACCGGTACAGTTTCATTGCAAATGTAGGCAATATGTGCAATGATAGTGTAATTCATTAGTAAAATTTGTGCGACCTGATAATTTCGAATTGACTAAATTATCGGTATATTTGCATTCCGTCCTAAGTTTGCAGTCCACGTCTGTATGGCAAAAAATGTAATCAATCCTGTCACTGTGCTGAAGAGTTCTGTCACCCTGTCAGTGGCGTGTGTCCTGGAGACTGTAGACCAGGGTGGCGGGGAGATTCAGTCAGTGGTGTGTGTCCTGGAGACTGTAGACCAGGGTGGTAGGGAGACAGGTGTGTCACAGGTGAGGACATTTAGTTTGTTGTGTGTGTCCTGGAGTCTGTATACCAGGGTGACAAAGAGTCAGGTGAGATACAGATGATGAGATTAAGTCAGTGTTGTGTGTCGTGAAGACTGTAGACCAGGTTGGCAGGGAGACAGGAGTGACATAAGTGATGAGATTCAGACTGTGATGTGTCTCCTTGAAACTGGAGACAAAGGGCGGCATTGACACATGTGTGATACAGATGAGGAGATTCATTTAGTAGTGTATGTCCTGAAGGCTGCAGACCAGGCGGCATGGACAGAGGTAAGCAATCGTAATGTAACGTGTAGTTCCTTACTGAGAAAGCAATATGCTGGAGACAATATCTATGTGCAATGTGGTGACAGGAATATTATCAAGATGTAGGCACCAATTGTGCTCATCTCCTTTACTCACACTTTCTGTTAGGATTGGCAAAATTTACACACAAGTATTTGGCCAAGAGTAATTAAGTGAGTAAATAAGTTGGGGTGAACGCTGCTTTGAACGGTATTCTAGTTACACGACGACGGGTCAGCTTAATGTAATGGTATGGTGCCAAGAAACCAAGAAACATAATCGGGACGAGCCAGGATTCGAACATACAATCATATGTTTCTGGCCTGACTGAGGGTCGCAACTCTAGACAGCGAAATACGGCACATTAGACGACTGGGCCACCCGTGCCCCAGATTTGGCTAAGAACATCAACTGGAGCTTGAGGTATATCGATCAATAATGGTCAAAAAGACAATATCCACAAGACTGCTCGCCAAGGTGATGGCTTTAACTTTCCAATAGTCAACTTTCCATTTATGTGTTCACTCTCTCGCTAGCACTTGGTACCCTCATATTTGACAGCGATTCATCAACAAAGGCATATCATGTAATCGATTCATCTTTTGGCAGAGATATGATATGATTATGGAACTGGTTTTGTTGCTTTTAATTAATTACAGCGTCGAGTCACTAACTGTTTCAATATGACCTGAACCTTAATGCAATGTGAATACATTACTATCCTGACGTAACATCAATGGGACACGCATAGGTCTAATGCAATGTTATCTAACAAGCAGTCGTAGAATATTTAGCAGATTTCCTCTACCGTGATAAATAACTGTCTAGATGAGGTACGTATTACAAAATAACTTATATGCAAAAGTACATGAATTGTGGTCGTGGAGTTTGATAGGTTGTGTTGTTGTAATATGATACACACATGCCACTAGAATGTGACGTATGGAGTCAACTGTGTGAACATATGTAGTGACAATTGTTGTCTCTGTAGCTGCAGCAGTTGCCGTCGGTGTTGTTATCTGGAGAAGGAGACGGAGGTACTTGATGTGTGGCCAATCATATTCAACAACAATATTCCAGTACACATGATGATATGACGTTTTTCAAAAACGTAGCAAGTAATGAAATAAAACTATTTTCTTCTTATCATATGAATTTGGCCTTCAGAGCCATGAATAAACGTTAAGAGGATGTTATGACTGATGTTTCATATATCCCTATTTTCAGACCATCGCTGCAGGAATCTGACTCCATGATTAGTACAACACAAGTCATCTGGCAACGGTTCCAACAAAACAGTCACGAGACAACGACGAAACTAAACTTGCAGAACGACTATACGATGGTCTCAGTGTCATGTCACGTGAAATCCAGGGACCAGGAGGAGAGACATATTGCACTCTCAACACAGAGAAGCCAGATCTGGAGGGAGGGGCATCTGGTGAAGTGGCTGAAACGACAGATCGGGATATATACGAGCCAACAGAACCACGGACGTATGAAACACTTGACAGCACATCACGTGACGTGATTGGTGAATATAGTGAATTGGGCAAGATTGCATAACTCAAGTGACGCTACCTTATAGGTAAACTCACTCACTCACACTTTATCTGGGATGCTGGTTTCGATATTCGTCACATGATGAGTGGACAGAGAAACGAACAGTCGCAATACAACAGCTTCAATGAATTAGCGAGATCATGATAATGGATGTACACAAAATGGAAGCACACACACACACACACACACACACACACACACACACACACACACACACACACACACACACACACACACACATGTGCATGAAAGTCGCTAAATGTCCTGTGCATGACGATACACGTGAACAGAAAGGGATTTCCCTCGACTGTAATATTGGAATACCCCGACATTCCGCAGTAATAAAAGTAGTGCGCCACGGTGGGAAATGAATGCAATAACACGTGACCAATTCAGTTAATCAGAATGCAGGAATTTCCATGAACACAACGAAAATTTAATTATATATGGTTGCACATGTTCTTAATGTGTAAATCATTCCAACACTGTTATGTACATGAATGCATTATTGTATATTGCCAATGTGACAAGCGTGTTGCTGGTAAGAATTACCTCACCAGTGTGAGAGGCACAAACATGTCCGGTACCTTTCAATCTGATGGAAAACACGTATCACGCGTATTATATAGTACATACACGCGATCGCCTGAAGAGATATTGCGTTGTATTGCTGTAAAGTGATTATCCATAACACAGGTGAATCATGAACAATCTTCACACATGATGTAAGTTCTTTACTTATTTCCAATTGAGTTATAAACACAAACCAAACTTTTAAACAAAATTGATATTTCGTGTATAACTATCCACACATTTGAATAAGGAATAAGCAGATACATTCACTCACTATATTTTATGTAACTTGCATTGATTAAGTGAGTTCGGTTACAACTTTCAGTAATATCACGGCTTGGTATGAAGGAAAGCTCGACGTGGTGCAAGTCTCAGACGTTTACCACATTGTGAAGCCCACGAAGAGGTGTATCTATGTATGTATGTACTGATAAACCTATAACGACACTCAAATTCGAACCCACTTTAATAAGTTTTGGCATTGTTTAGTGTTGATATTGTCACAGGGAAGTATACTACTTCTCTGTGATATCCACTGCGACGAAATCACACCATGCTGTGATATAAATCCTTTCAAGTGGAAATATATGATAAATTATGATAATGTACTTAAATAGCCTATTTATAATCATGGCACCTAACACCAGGAGGAAGTTGTGTGATTTCCTGATGGCATTTTTCGCTATTTGTGTACTGCAGCTTGGCTTTGTGCGATAACGTTTATGAAACCACCCGAAATTCACACTTCAGGTGTTCTCGAATACACAGTATACAGTCACAATGTATCATGTTCTGTATGGATGTTTTCACCTATCGACACTATTTCGGAATTATAACTGTCTTAAAAATGACGCATGCAACATCTGCTTCAATACTCTCCATTTCGTCGATAGTTACACTTGCTGATGACGACTATAACACAAAAGTCGTGCGTGTCACTCTCATTAATTATATTATCATGGTGTGTCATTAGTACCATATCTCAGTGAGGGAGAGTGTATGATTCCTACACACAGAACACCTATTGTTTTTGTCTGATTCATGATATTAATGTAAAACAGTGATCATGTCTAATTCATAAACCGAGGAGGTATACTTTTCTCACTTTATGCGGGGATCGGTAATGGGACACATAACAACACAAAAACATACCATCACAAAATGTGATGTTGTGTATTACAATACACTTAATTTACGAAATATTTTGAAATCTGTACATCGACATATCCTTTCCTTGACGATTTGAACCAGATGAGACTTAATGATTGTTTGAATATGAATTCTGAGCCTTTTCTATGTTTACTTTCATGATAAAGGATGAAGACAGACATGCATTTAAGATGTTTTCTCACTTTATGAAAAGACCTCGACATATGCGGTGACATATATCTGACACTCAACAATGAGTGAGTGAGTTGGGTTTAACGCCGCTTTTAACAGTATTCCAGTTATATCACGGCGTGTCAACTAAATGTGGGAGGGAAGCCCTAAGGGATGCAGGTCTCGGACGTTTACCACTTCGGTGAAACCCACGAACAAGGGTATGGTGCTGACAAACCTAGAAACATAATCGGGACGAACCGGGATTCAAACCCTCAATCATAGGTTTCTGGTATGCAAGGGACGCAACTCTGCACAGCGACTCGCGGCGCCTTAGACGACTGGGCCATCCGTGCCCCCCCACTCAACAATAACATACCACCTGAAAGTGTGACTTGGCCTTAAACGTGTCTATGTTATGTGTTAAAATACACTTCAATGTAGGACATATTTTGAAAACTGCCTACCATAAAACTGCCAAACATATCAATGTCAGTTGTTGAGTTGACTGAAATGAGACTTAACGTTTGCTTGAATATAAAATCTGAGCCTTCTCTGTGTTTATTCGCACGATACAGGACAAAGACAGATATGCATTACAGATATTTACATTGTATGAAAGCACTCCTCGCCTCACTTATAGACGCCCATGTTCATTTTGACGGCGAGCAACGAAAGGTGCCGCAGCTATTCAGTCAAGCGGAAACAACTTCCTGGTTGTCAAACATGGCGGGTGTGTGGATACTGACTGTCATCGTTTTCACATCGGCTTGCTGGATACAGGTTATCATTGGTAAGTTACACATCATGCTTCCTTATTGAATACACATTATATGTTTATGTCGATTATTGTAATGTTACTACCACAATTTGCATCATTGTTGCATCGCTAAGACAATCACTGTACGTAAGTCTGATCATTGTGGACCAGTTAATGGGTTGCTTGATGGGGGCCAGGGTTGTAGATGACGCTGATGTACAATGGTCAGAAAAGTATATACACGTTATGTATTCAGAAAGATCACAAGAGCAGAGACTCATGCTAACACTGATTGAATCATACTCTTAAAACAACAATGGCTCACAAAATTGGACTTGAATAAAAAATACGAGGGCAAATTTAGAAAGGATCTGAAGTAAACAATAATGCACATCATATTTCAGATGAAAGTTGTGAACATCGTTAGCACTGCATGCTGAAACGATGACCTTGCAACGTGATATTTTAAAACAACGTTACAATATAACTAATTAGAAAAAAATATAACGTTATCAATTGTTACACTGCCTAACATTTGTATAACACTGACGGAACTTGTGTGTTAGCGTGGATAGAAATGATGTAATGTTATGACAGAATTGACCAGACAGCGGACTATTGGTGGAGGTCCAGCCTTTGTTTAATTCATACCAGCCAACAGCTAACTGGGTTTTCAACAATCCAGGTTCTGAGACGTCCATTGAGAAATGAGAGTGACTCAAACAAGCTGCCGACATCTAAGTTATATTTCACACCAGCAGAGTTTTTTTCAATTAAAATTAGATTTGTACTTATCTACATGTATGGTATTTCCAAACAACTCAAAAATACATTATTAAGATAAAATTTCATAAGGATATAACAGTGAATAACATTTGCACATGGATATTATTAGGTTTACTGATGTTTACTGATGTCTCAATGTAACGAAAATGCATATATCATAATTTTGATTGATACCATCTGTTCAACAAACCGGCTCTGTGTCAGGAGGGAGGTAGGTCGGTGGTTCGATCCTCAGCCGTTTCATACAAAAGAAATTAAGAGATTACACTTGTTGTTACGATGTCTGGGGCTTTGCGTTAAGGGGGTAAAGTGTAAGGACTGCACGACTGGCCAGGTTACTTTTGGCTGCATGAACAAACTTCGTGCAGCTTTAACTGTCCCTAGGTATATCTCCCCAGGTTCCCTTTTCCCGGGGAACATTCGGAGATTCGTGTAGCTACACCTGTCACTGTGGGCAGTCCTGTAACCTGACAACTGGTGTTTGTGGACGTGTCTGTGATAGAGGCTGGGTTGGAGGAAATGGGGGAACCTGCCAGAAAGGTAGGGATATAATTAAAAAGCATGACTGGCTGGGCGAGTGAGTTTTATTGAGTGGGTGAGAGAATATGTTTCGATGGGTGTTCTGGTACTTGTACGACTGAGTGATTGAGTAGGGTTTTGGCTGGTTGTCAGAGTGAGTGAATGAGTGAGTGAGTGGTGTTAGCTGGTTGGGTCAGTGCTTGTGTGTATTGGTTTGTTTGTGGCTGGTTAGATGGGCGGGTGAGTGAGCGAGTTTTCAACGTGACAGTATTTCACTTAAATAAGGGTGTGTGAGGCTGTCAGCTTGAAGAACAAAGTGAGGCAGGTATTAAATGTTAACCAGTCTGGTGAAAACAGAGAGCACTGGTATGTTGCAGACAAACCATGAAACACAGGATGAATATGAATTGAGGGCATGTCTGCTCTGCGTAAATGTTTCTTCAAAACAATTTGAAAAGTATAAAATAAGTTTGATAATGCAATGCAGGATATATGTACTCAAAGAAACTCGAGCAAAGGTGGCCGCGACTTACTGTATTACAAGGTCCTGTTGTCCCAATCCCAGTGAGTAAGTAGAGGTTGGCTGGTTGAGAGGTTAGAGCAGTGGGTGGGTGTATTGACTGAGCTGTTCTGCTATGCGTATATTTTCTTCAAAACCGTTTTTAAGCATACAAATCGCTTGATAATTCGTAATGGAGGGGGCGGTCGGGTATCCTGGTGGTTAAAGCGTTCGCTCGTCACGTCGATGGCCCAGGTTCGATTCCCGACATTGGTACAATGTGTGAAGCCCATTTCTGCTGTACCCCGCCGTGATATTGCTGAAAAATTGCTAAAAGCGGCGTAAAACCATACTCACTCACTCACTCAATCAATCAATCACTCGTAATGCAGGTTATATGTATTCATAGGTTATTTCAGCACAGGTGGACGTAACTTAGTGTACTGCGTGTTGTGTAGTAACTGACCCGATCCTCTTGTCGTGTGTCAAGTTTTCTATATTCGCCCTTGTCTGTCAACATATCCGTACACCGTATATCTGTAACAAGTAAAATAAACACCATTTTAGGACTCGAGATTTTTTAATGTATGGTTTGGTTTTGAATGGATATGTTTGCCTATTACAGTGTAATGTCTATTCTGGACACTTCTTGTGTTCATTACTTGAGTGAAATGTTGTGTTGGTATCAAAACAGAAAACGTTGCCTTAGGGAGACACGCCTCATCCCCTACTCGACTGTGGACACCTGCCTCGTCTGCAGACAAAGCTGTAGATGGGAACTCTAACCAGGATGTGTACCAAGGCTTCTGTTTCAACTCTGCTGACGACGTTACGAGTTCGTGGAGAGTGGATTTGGGAGACGACTACAGGATACATGATGTCAGGATATATCATCAGAGACATCGTATGACTTTTATGCATTAACACTTTGGAGTCACGATCAAACTGTCTTTACATAATATAGTGTTACATATCAGGTCACCCCATGGGGACCAGGATGGGAATAGTTCTATTAATTGTTGTTAGATATGTATTTTCGTATCGGGTCATCAGGCTTGGTGACTTGACTTCGTGTCTTCGTTCAAAGACGGCTTGGGATGTTGCATATAATGTCAACCACAGGTTTGCCTGGCCCAGACTAGTATATGTAAAAGCAGCCATATTAATATAGCTAGGTTTAACTAGGTTAAAGCATTTAGTTATACTCTGTATACCTCTGTACATACAAGTACAATAACGTTTGTGCACTGTGAGTATATTAGCACAGTAACCGTTTCGAAAATTCTGGAGCATTGTCATCTGCCCGAATACAATGCCAATTTAGTATTTAGTATGTATTTGAACTGATACTTATTACAGATCTTCCTCGAATTCGCACGGCTGCACTCTACCTGAGCAACACCAGCAATACACCCAGTGTTCCCTGCTACACCTTCCCGTCCAACACTTCAGACACTGGCAACGGTATCTACAACGTGGTCTGTGATGGAATAGGGAGATACTTCACCATCACTGATCCCACACACTTGAATCTGTGTGAGGTAGAGATTTATGGTATGGTATATTCAGAAGTGTAATTTGTATCTTAAAGGAATCCTTTCCCGATGAGAGAAAGAATATATTAATCATATTGACATATTATAAAGATAATAAAATTATTCAGTTATGTACATAAAAAACAAAGGAATACAACATGCCCATACATCATATTTTTGTGTATAAGAATATGGTTAGGCCCCGATTTGTTCGACTTATAACTTCTCAATTTGTGCCAACAGATGGTGCCTTGATATTCGACATTTATTTTGAATCTTTTAAGGGTCTTGACCTCGTCATTGGAAGCATGGGCACAGTTTCCATAGCAACTTCCACCCACGGCTTACATTTCTGAAGGGGAAGTTACCCTTAATGTGAATGCATTGTTGTATAAGAGGGCGACGGATCAATCTTCCTTGTCACAACTGTAGTCAATGAGCTTCGTACTTCATTGAGGGTATTTGATCTACACTGGCCTTCTTATATGTTACTCAAGATACGCCTGGGTGTGATGAATGGAATTTGATGTACTGGTAACTGGTCAAACCCCGAGGACGTCCCTGACCAGAGACGGACACCATTCCCAGTGGTGGGTCGCGCCAGACAACAGTGTCGCCGTGATTCCGTTTTAAGTTGTCAAGATTTAAGTTGTCAAGTTCAAGTTGCAACTTGTTGATGTTTAAAACCCAATGCTTTTCCTTATTGCATGGATGTTGTTTCACCCTTAGTTGTAAGCCACCATCTGTTGTCAATAAGGTTATGTATGATCAACAGTGTTTCAATCTTCAAAATACTTAAAAAACAGCAGCGGTAAAGTGAACATCCAGCCATGTTATGCATGTCATTGTGCCTTTCCAATCTTCACACAATTTCACAGTTAAAGGAGAACTGTTTAATAAAACTGTCTTTAAAAATTGAAGTGGCATTGAGAATGGCTAATCGGTTATGATCAATAGTGTTCGTTTTTCAATCTACAAAACACTTCAAAACAAAAAAGGAGCGCTAAAGTGAACATCAAGCCACTTTAAAGATAACAACACTTATAAATAGAGTTTGGTTTGCTTTGGTTTGTTTGTTCTTTAGCGCCGCACTCAGCAATATTCCAGCTTTATGACGGCGGTCTGCAAACAATTGAGTCTTAACCAGACAATCCAGTGATTGACATCATACGCATCGATGCACGCAATTGGGATACGATGACATACATCAACCACGTCAGCGAACCTGACAACCCGATCCCGTTAGTCGCCTCTTGCGACAAGCATAGTCGCCTTTTACGGCAAGCATGGGTCGCTGAAGACTAATTCTACCCTGGATCTTCACGGGTCTATGAATATAATATATCATTACGCCATTCAAATCTTCATTCATTTTCACAGTTAAAGGAAAATTGTCCAGCAAAAGTTTTTGAAGTGCAATTGAGAATGGCTATTTGGTTATTTTACTTGCATATAACCTGTTAGTGGAAGCAATAGTGCGAATAATATTCATATATCAGTGACACTTTTGTAACCACACAATAAAACGACCATTGGAAATGGTGTTTTTCCGTATTTTTTATATATGGCTATATTCACTATCATTCTATGTCAAGTTTGCAGCCCAGGAGTCTTTGGTGATAGCTGCAACCAGTTCTGCCATTGCCTCCAAGCAACGTGTGACCCAGTCAGTGGTGTGTGTCCTGGAGACTGTAGACCAGGGTGGCAGGGAGACAGGTGTGATACAGGTGAGGAGATTCAGTCAGTGGTGTGTGTCCTGGAGCCTGTAGACAAGGGTGGCAGGGAGACAGGTGTGATACAGACGAGGAGATTCAGTCAGTGGTGTGTGTCCTGGAGACTGTAGACCAGGGTGGCAGGGAGACAGGTGTAATACAGGTGAGGATATTCAGTCAGTGGTGTGTGTCCTGGAGACTTTAGACAAGGGTGGCAGGGAGACAGGTGTGATAGAGGTGAAGAGATTCACTCAGTGGTGTGTGTCGTGGAGACTGTAGGCAGGTAAGTATGGTATGACTCGCGGGATCTATATTGTCGCGTTGTCGGTAAATCTCGTAAGCTAGATCCCCTGTCAACTATTTAAAATTGAGCACACTATTTCATCGCATGATCGAATACAGGACTTAATGTCACTTTATGTTACTTTAAACCGCCTCTGTGGTCTAGTGGTAGAGCGTCCGCCCGGAGAGCGGAAGGTCCGGGGTTCGATCGCCGGCCGCGTCATACCAAAAGACGTTAAAAGATGGTACTTGTTGTTACCTTGTCTGGCGCTCGACATTAAGGGGCTAAAACAAGGACTGGTCGGCTCGGAGTCAGTATACTGTGTCTGAGTGGGGTATTCATGTTAAACTGCGGCATGGTATCTCAGTGAGCTAGCACTATAAATCGGCATCAGTCCGGACTAGTACAAGCAGCCACACAAACACACACACGTACATGTACATGCACGTCGCTATATTAGTGCAATAATCTTGGACGCGACGTTAAACCCCATTTCACCTTACCTTATGTTACTTTATGTCACGGCTACTCGTAAAAACACACGTTAACTTTTATATGATAGTTCCTGGAATGTTTTTGAAGTGGAATTGTCCCTACCTTCATTCGAAATTGGTTAGAAAAGAATTCACTTGTTTGGACAATGTCCTTGGACCCGACCTAATTTGTATGCATACTGAATTTGCATATTCCAAAACAGAAAGTGATGTAAACCACATAATCCACACGTATCACCAACAATTTAGTGACACCGCGATAATATAGAGTTTCCCGCTCTTGAGTCGCCACTTAAGTACTTTGTTAACCGAAATCCAAATTATTGTGTCATAAAAGTTGAATAGAGAACAAGAAACATTTTGCGTATGACATTGCTAATGTGTTAGTAAACATTCGCCATTTCGAGCCATTATAATTTAACTACCACGATAATATAGCTTGCCATGCTGATTGTACTGTAATGAGCTGTTTACTGAGAAAACAACATCAATGCAAATACAGTCAGGACATTTAGACAGGAATAAGGCACCAATTGCGCTCTCCTCCTTACTGATCTATTTGTAATGCACGTGAGTCAGCATTCCTCTTCGGAATCAAAACGCTAGGATTAGGCCAAAAGGGTTGAATGAGTTAGCTTTAACTATGCGTTGAACAGTATTCCAGTTTTATCAGCTTCATGAAGAGATTGATGCAGCGATGTGTTTCCCGGTGTGTTGACAAGGGAGGTAGGTGTGATACAGGTGATGAGATTCATTCAGTAGTGGGTGTCCTGGATACTCTGGACCTGGATGGCAGGGAGGTAGGTGTGATATAGGTGAGGAGATTAAGTCAGTGATGTTTGTCCTTGACACTGTAGACCGGGACAGAAGGGAGACAGTTGTGATACAGATGAGAGGATTGAGTCAGAGGTGTGTTATCTGGAGACTGTAGACCGGGGAGACAGGTGTGATACAGGTGAGGAAATTAAGTCAGTGATGTTTGTCCTTGACAATGTGGACCGGGACAGAAGGGAGACAGTTGTGATACAGACGAGGGGATTGAGTCAGAGGTGTGTTTTCTGGAGACTGTAGACCGGGAAGGTAGGTGTGTGTCCTGGGACCAGCCGAACAAAGGTAGAGGGCTGCAGTTAAGGGCTATCGCTGACAAGCATGTTACACGGGTGAAGGAGGTTATTGAATGACATTATTATTTTGGTCATCAGCGTGGGTGTCAATTAGCGAATGTAGTAATGTAATTGATGTAATTGAATTTTTTTTTAAATGCGTCAAGAAGCTAACTTTGTTAACATGATCATTTTGACACTCGTCGGTGGCATGAAATAACGTGTTATGGAGCCGGTGGTAAAATATGAATATAAACCTACGTACAATATTATATCAACTGCAATTGTGGACATTTAGGCTGATGGATCCTGTCTTTGTATAGCAATAAATCCGTGCTATAGGCAAATACTGTGACATGAGTACAACGTTCCCAAGATCTGTCTGTCCGTCTCATTCCTGAAGTTACCATACGTATACTACCTCTATTTATCTCCGATTACAGTCATTGTCGTCACTGGGGAATTAAGTTGTTGTTTTTCTTTGCACATGCTTATTATTCCTATTGTTTATAAAATAACAGTTGTAAATTAATATATACTTTTGATTGCCCTCCTTCCGCTTTCCAGTTTCTCCTTACACATCTCTGTTCTTATGACAATAATTTTTTCGCCGTGCGATACTTTAGACGAGGTGGAATATATATCTTCCTAGTTTGTGTTGTAGTCTGTGACAGCCCACATTACGGAGCTAACTGTGACAAGACATGCGCCTCCAGACACTGTGTGGAAAACTCTTCCTGTAACTCAACAGGGGACTGTGACAGGGGATGTGAGACAGGGTGGACACTAAACGATTGCACAGGTAATGAACCCATTGCGTTGATGAGAAAATACTTTCGTCATATCCAATAACGGTTCATTATAAATGCATGCTTAAATTAAAACCATGGATTTCAATAATTTTCATTTTTCTTTGTTCATATTCTAGCGTGCATTCCAGACCATTTTGGGGCCGAATGTAAAGAGGAATGTGGACTGTGTGATGGTAATAACACATGTGACCCTAATTCAGGCAAGTGTCCCTCTGGCTGTGTTGAAGGATACATGGGACCCCAGTGTAAAGGTAATCATCACAGAATTACAGGAACAGCAATTAGACCAACCATCATGTTAGAAATATCAAATACAATGTGTGTGAGGGGGAAACATGGTATAACAGACTGGCCAAAGTCTTGTGAGCACAATGACCGTATGGTCAATAAGAAGGACAAGTGTCCGGTCCCTGATCAAGTTACTTAAAGGGAAGGGATCAGATACAAATCATATACCTCGGCCATGCGGACACTTTAAGCAAATTCTTTCAATCATATGATTTTATAATGTATTGTCAGTAGATATTTAGCTAAGACACGATAACCATGTAAGAGAGCGTATTTTAGCTGACACATACACACATTACATCGACCAGGCATACATATATATATATATGAGTCATGTCATCGCACAGATGCCCAGACATCAGAACCTGCCCAGACCGTCCCTGTCGCAGCTCTTGCAGGAACTGCAGTGGGTGTTGTGCTGGTGGCCCTTGTGGTCATCCTCGTTGTGCTTCTCACAAGGTCAGTTACTTTATTGCCATGGAAACAATATTCCATACAAGTGTTGAGATTATATGATTTGATAGCAAATATGTATTGTACATTAAACAGAAGGAGACGGCAGAAAGGATAGGGATCTTCTTTCAATGAATCAGTCATTAAAGAGACTTCACATGTCCCTTCCAAGACGAAAAACGTTCAAGGTACTTATTGCAATCAAAAATGATATTGTCAATTTATGCTGTCTATGAAAATGTGAAATGTGGCAGGTGCGTACGTATTTCTAGGACACCTATCAACATCACCGATTTTCAGCAATTAGCTCATATTATTTTCATCACCTTTTTGCCTTTTACGCTCTCTCAGCTGATATTCGAGACTGATTATTCTTTGGCGTTGGTGCTTTAAAGTATATTGAGGGAACCCAATTTATGACTGATACCAATAAAACTAATGTGAATATGGCATTGGGGACAGATGCAGAAAATACATACATAAATGTTGGATTTGATGAGGAAGCGAAACCAGTCGTGTCATCCAAGAAGACTCGGACAACTACTGCACCCGTGGCTGTAGGTTCTCCAGCCCCAGATGGTCACAATGTTAACATGCGTGAAAACCAAAGTGGGGACAAACGTGACAACGTACATGTTAATCATCCAGTCGACAGTCAAGGTCTGCCCGTCCTGGATGATGAAGAAGATTATGATGCCCAAGCTCAGGTAACACCACAGGAAGCACCCGATCTTGCTCACAGAAGTTACTACAATCTGGATGATGTTGAAGCATGCCATGCTATCTCCGTGTCCTCACTTGCGACACGAGTGCAGGCGATGAAAGACCAGCCAGAAAGGGCTGAAGAGGAGTTTAAGGTCAGTTTCAGGAAGGAAATATATTGAAAGTCTGTAACCTGATACCTGAAAGTATTACTATGTTGAACCATATCAGCCTCATGTTAGTGAAAGATGCCATTTCTTCCTTTCAGCGTCTACCTGATGGTTTCATGCATTCCTATGAGGAATCACAAAAGAGGAAGAACAAAGGGAAGAATAGGTTCAAAGGATATTACCCATGTAAGGATAAAATATTGTATTTAAATTCTTCAATACTCGAAAGCCTCCCCTTTTAAAGGATATTATGTTATGTACAATGTTTCTGCCAGATGAATCGGGTGATCTTGCATGACGCTAGTGATGACAGTAGAGGTGACTACATCAACGCAAGCTACCTGGATGTGAGTTACAACTTTGTTATAACATTTTCTAATAGCCAAAAGTATCCACAACATGAAATATGTTTTCAAATGTATTGTTAGAATGTTCAAGATAAAAATTCAACTAAAGAATGAGAAAACTATTTTTCACATTTAACATACATATGTTACAATTGCCATTGTTTGTATTAACGTTCTGTGATCTTTTTTCGCTGTTTTCGTCCAGGGTTACAAGTCAGAGAAGCGTTATATAGCAGCACAAGGTAATATCAAATAGGGATTGGTCAATAAAAGGATGTAACGTTTAATCTCAAGGAACACAGTGTAGATGAATAGAAGTTGGGTAAATACATTATCTCCAATTCGTCCTCAGCCGCGTTACGTTATAATTTGTTGAGTATTAACCTCGTACAGGTCCCTACAAATCGGACATAATAACGGACTTCTGGAAGATGATCTGGCAGGAGGGGTGCAGCACTATTGCCATGGTAACAGGTCTGGTGGAAGCATGCAAGGTATGAACTTAGTTCTCTGAGGTAATTTAACTTTCTGACTAAGATTACATTTGTCTGATGGTATTCACATGAAATCAAATTAAAAACCCAGCTTGAAATGTTTATGGATGCAATTATTCATAAATGTGAACTCTGTTAAAGATGAAGTGTCTACAATATTGGCCAGACAAGGGTACCAAGACGTTTGGAGACATTTCAGTTACTCTGGCAGCACAAACCCAACTAGCAAACTATACTGTCACCAAGTTGGCTGTCCAGAAAGAGAAGGTAGGTGTGAGTCTGAACGATGCTACCTATCGGTAAGCCATGCTGAATGTCACATCAGAGACACAGTATGTGATGTCTTACATTAATTGGACACCCATGTCCTCTCTTTTACAGAGGGTAATGATGTATTGGAATTATAAACGAAGTAGTAAAGGATACACGTATTATTGTCAAACGTTCGTTTAGCATCCGCTCATGGAAGATACATGATCATTTATGACGACAGGAAAGCATGAGACGGATTGTCCACCACCTTCACTTCACCAGCTGGCCAGATCATGGTGTGCCGGACACTGCTGCCCTGCTGGTCTTCATGTGGAGGGTTAAGGTCATATCTCGACAACAAACACAGCCGATCATAGTTCACTGCAGGTTCGATTCAAAAGGCGAAGTCAATAGCCATTAGGGGCGCAAAACTTTAAATACATCATTATCAAATTTTAGTTTTCGAATAATTGCTCAATGAACATTCTAAGAATTCAAAGAATTGTATATTGATACTATAACGTAGTGTGGATTGTACAAGAAATCATAACACTGATCCTATTTATTGAGCCATAATCATGTATACGAATACGATAATTTCAAGGCCCTGCATCTATATAAATATGAGCGACAAAAAACATTTCCATATTAAAGAATTAGAAATCTCATTTTTCGATTCCGACGACAGCATAGTGATGATAACAAATGTCCGCGAAAGGGTGAGCATATCTTGCCCCACCAGTGGCACCCGTCACAAACACACGGACAAGTCAAATTTTACCTGAAACACCACGGCAAAATAGTCAAAAAGTCATAATAGAACATCATTTGTGCGGGGGACACCAGCAATGGGCTTCACACATTGTACCCATGTCGGGAATTGAACCCGGTTCTTCGGCGTGACGAGCGAACGCTTTATCCACTAGGCTACCCGACCGCCCCTGTCTACTTAGAAAGGCCTTGAATGTTGTAAGCCTCATGAAACAACTTTTGAGCAAGAGTTGTATGCCGTTCTGTCAACTCATTAAGGAAAGAACATGTTGGATTGCTGGAAAATTGATTAAAAGCAGGAAGGTTTTTAAGTTTTCTTAGTTTTCGAAGGAAAAAAAGACACTGGTGCTTTTCGAATTCTTTGTAAGTATATCAACGGATATTAGGTGGTATGTGTTACTGTTTTGTTTAAACTCCTTCAATCCAGTGCTGGTATAGGTCGAACAGGGACGTACATCACTATCGAAAGTCTTGTGGAGCAGGCAAAGACAGAGGGCATTGTGGACGTCGTTAGCTTCGTCTCCAACATGAGAGGGCAGAGGAAGAACATGATTCAAACAAAGGTAATTGTAAAACATGACAATTGTTTTTACTAAAGTAGGATATCTTGTTGATAACTATGTCATTGTTGAAAACTTTCTATCAAACACCTATATATATCCAGGAGCAGTACCTGTTCATCTATCAAGCGTTGGCAAGGGCGGTGTCAGAGGGGGACACAACACTTGACTCCACCTCCATCAAACACCTTGACCTCGGTCAGGTTTTAGATGTTCCTGTTGGCAATAGGACAGTACAACAACACCTCGAGGTAGGCATACCTATTAACATAAATTCACCTTTCCTCCGTTGACCTGCAGACCGCATCCGTGGTCTAGTGGTTCAGCGTTCGCCCGGAGAGCGGAAGGTCCGGGGATCGATCCCCCGAAGCGTCATACCAAAGACGTTAAAAGATGGTACTTGTTGTTACCCTGTCTGGCGCTCGGCATTAGGGGGCTAAAACAAGGACTGGACGGCTCGGAGTCAGTATACTGTGTCTGAGTGGGGTATTCATGTTAAACTGCGGTATGGTATCTCAGTGAGCTAGCACTATAAATCGGCATCAGTCCGGACTAGTACAAGCAGCCACACAAACACACACACGTACATGCACGTCGCTATATAAGTGCAATAATCTTGGATGCGACGTTAAACCCCATTTCACCTTACCTCACCGTTGACTTGCAATTGAGCAGAAATCAGCCACCAACTGTCTGACCTGTCAACGTTGATTACACACTTTTGACAAGTGACGGTATAGATACACTCCATGTATCCAGATACATACTTTCCGACCTCATTTTTCAAGAATTATCCATGGCAATATGTAACCTAGAGATGTGTATGAAATAATTAAAAATAATAACTTGTGCAGGATGTACATCACATTTAGTGATTGACTAACTTAACTCATTTATTTTAGGCTTTACAACGCGGAAGTAGGGGTGAGTACAGTATTATCTGAATTGCTAAAGTGACATAATATATGTAATGAGCGATCAACTGGTTATATAACTATGTAAACATATAATGGTAGGAAGTGAACTATGTCTGCATGACCTTGAATATCGAGACACATGTCAACAATGTAACATTGAAAATAGACTTGTAGTTAAAGTTCTCTATATCAGTTGCAATTACCTTTCAGGGCATGCCGAGGGAGCAATTGTCACAAGTAAGCAGCGCAATACACCATATTCAATGTACAGATGGTGTGCATTCAGTGGTGAAATGCTATATTTATCCTCAAATATACAATTAATGTTTCACTCGAGTAAAATATCACTTTGTGCCTGTACTATTTTCCGTCTACTTCAATTACGCTATGGTTTTCAGAGTAAGATCGTGCACTTCATGCACGAACATACCTAATAAGTAAAACAGTTGTCTTTTTCTGCGCCACTCATGATAATGTCGACCTCGCAGATCACTTGATGATATCAACAAGTTATTTGACAAGAGACAAATATGCTCTGTTTACTTGTACGTTTTTGGATAAGTCGCGTGAATAACCCAAACGTACAAAACTGACAATTTGGTAAAGAAGAATGGGATCAGTCATTATAACCCTCTTATTAATACTCATTTCTATTTCGCAGTCATATGGATCTCTTAATGGGTTCTTTATTATGTCGTCACAACCGGAAAAAGAGGCCGTGTGGAATCAAGTTTACAACAGTGACTCGCACATTTTAATAACATATGCTGGAGGTGCTCTGGTCAGTATATATTTATGAACTGATATTTAAAAATGGTTTTATATATTCTAAGATGTCAAGGCCACACATTTATGTCACGCTTTTTGCCCCAAGCATACACTTCATACAAATAGTAGTAACCATATACAACTTTGTAGTTGTTTCCTAATTAAGAGAAAGTGAGCTGGACCCATTTGAGGAGTGGGTTTATTTCCCGAAAAACGTTAAAGAAGTATTGTCTATTTTTGTAGGAAAATGTGCAGAATATTATCTTGATGAAATTGTTTCTTTGAAGAGCAACAACCACATAAAACAAAACATCATGCTCAAGAAACAACATCAGTCCTACGGATATGATGCTATAAATATGTCATTGAATGTTTTGCAGAGGTTATTTCAAGATGCATTACCAACGGTACATTTCATATAATTATGAAACACATTTGACATTTACTTTGATTGAAAGTGCGGTTAGAATTGGCTTTCAACAACCCGTGCTTGTCGTAAGAGGCGACTAACGGGATCGGGTGCTGACTTGGATGTCAATCACTGGATTGTCGGGTCCAGACTCCACAATTTACAGACTACCGTCATATTGCTGAGTGGGGCGTCAAACACCCACTCATTTTATTGAAAGTAAGCTGCATGTTAAATAGCTTTATGTTCAAAGCCCTAACTCGTATTCACGGGAGCATAAATGTCCTGATGATAGTTACAGATGTAATAAACGACATATAGGTACAAGATCTATTTGATGTTCATAAATTCCTCATCATTAACAACTCGTTCCAGGATTACCTCCCATCAGTAGACTGTCCTGTTACCACCACCAGGTTTGAAGTGAGCATGTCCAGGTCTACAGCTCTGTCTGATGACATCCTTCTGAACACAGTGGAGCTGAAACTAAAGGTTGAAAAACAAAATATTTTCAATGCGAATACTGATGTATTGTGTGTAGCGTTAACCCACAATGTTGTTGCTCGAGTTTTATCACTATATCTTTTTACCACACGTAAAATCTTGTGTGGATTCTGGAGAGGAAAAGGTCACGAGTATCCCATATAAGAACCAGCTGAAGAGACCAGTGACCAGGGTCGGTGACTTGGCTGATTGTGTGCCCGATAGTGTGGATCGTTGTTCATGTATTCAGCTCATGTTAACTGTTCCAGACTCGATTATTGACAGAAATCGTTCAACAATCAGTCACTTACTCTCTACCGTGGCCTGGAAAATATCTACATGACTTCATACATGTGCATAACCTTAAACAGCAGTGTGCATTATAAGTAACCATTTAATATTTCAATATTTCAGGATATCGATGACACTACTGTTATTCAACATTACCACATCATGGGGAGTGTAAGGGATCCCAGTTTCCACTTGCTGATTGACAACTTTCTCACGTGGACAAGTGATCCCAAACGAGGCTTAAGCACAGTGGTAGCAGAGTAAGTACATACATGTCAATGTTGGTGATCTGCAGGTGTTAGGATGTAATTATTTGGCACTACTATGGTACGTCGATGGCATAGTACCTTGCCTGGGCATTGGCCGTCTGTTAAAATATAATCAAATGCTACAGGCAGTAAATTGTGAATTGAATTGTACTTATTTGAATGTTTTTGGTTGATCACAGATCTGTGGAGGAGTTTCGTCTCTTGGTGCTTCTGCTTAACATCGCCAGCAGGCTGGGGGACGATGGTAGGGTGGACGTCATCAACAACGTGCGACAGCTTTACACACGTCTTGGAGGTCCGCCATTCACAGAGGTAAAATATGACGTGCAAGGGTATCACCAATGTCTGTTCGTATGTTCTCTTGATCACATGACAGCTACAGTTCTGATATGTGGCACACATCATCTATGTTCCATTTAACATGTAAGGTTGTAGAAAGATCAGCATCATTTATAGTAATGTAGTTCATGTTTCAATTGTATTTACTTTAAACGTGTAATCGTCTGACAAACATGGGTGCGCATTTGCTGATTTCAGCTCGCCTTTATTTTCAGACTGACGTGAGATTCTGTCTTGAGTTCTCTCAGCGGAGGATGAAGACACTTGGAGTTTACGCCAATTCCTGATGTCATATCTAGACAAAAGCACCTCTGGCTATATACAGAGAGGCTACGCTTATCTCAACATGTGCCCAGACTTGTGTCAATTTACAATACTATTCGCTGCAAAGTCACACTGATATTTGTTTCCAATTCTCAAAGCAAGATGTCAAATACAGAAAAGAGTGCGAATTTCATACTTCACATGCAATGTGTCAGCTACATATTGACGTGATCAGTATACAGATAATTACACCAGTCGACAAAGGTCGGTATTAGCAACATATCACAGATTGAAGACTAAATGACACCAGTTCAATGCTAAACCCATCCACAATTTCTTATATCAAAATTATACTCTTTGCCTTGTATTTGTTTGTTGCTTAACGCCGCACTCAGCAATATTCCAGCTATATGACGGCGGTCTGTAAAATAATCGAGTCTGGACCAGACAATCCAGTGATTGACATCAAGAGCATCGATCCATTGGGAATGATGACATGTATCAACCAAGTTAGCAAGCCTGACCACCCGATCCCGTTAGTCGCCTTTTACGACAAGCATAGTCGCCTTTTACGGCAAGTATGGGTTGCTGAAGACCTATACTACCCCGGAATCTTCACGGGTATCATTGCTTTTTAAATATGTAGAGTCAGGTAACCTTCCTGGGCATAATCGGGTCTTATGGTACATCTGCATCAAGTGTGACGCCCCAGCAGGATGCTATGTATGAAAAGAAGACACCCTATTATTTAGTAGTTACTGTATTTTGGGAATAATTCCATGAATTTAGTACATTGTACAGGCTGGCCTTCGCCGTATGAAGGTTCATACTCCAAGAAATCCATAGTCAATGACACATTGTTCGATAGGCTTACGCACATGCCTACTCCAAAACCCCTCAGGGGACTCAGTTGTCTTAACAGGCAGAGATTATATTATTGTTTTAAAGTTGTGTCAACTAAGTGGAGACATCTTGGGCTGCTTTCCCAAACATTAATCTGACTCACTTTATCTGACAACACTTTGCTTGTATATGTCGCAATCAAAAGCTGATATGATATGATATGATATGATATGATATGATATGATATGATATGATATGATATGATATGAGTGAGTATGGTTTTACGCCGCTTTTAGCAATATTCCAGCAATATCACGGCGGGGGACACCACAAATGGGCTTCACACATTGTACCCATGTCGGGAATCGAACCCGGGTCTTCGGCGTGACGAGCGAACGCTTTAACCACTAGGCTACCCGACCGCCCCTGATATGATATGATATGATATGATATGATATGATATGATATGATATGATATGATATAAATTGAAAATATTACGTGTATAGTCATTTAAATTAATTTGTGATTTCAATAAATATGTCATGTCAATAAACAGTGTAAAGAATGGAAACTTCCGTTAAATAAGCACATGTTATTAATCATAATATCTTCACACAGATATGAGAATATAAGAAATATTAACTGCCTATCAAACAATAGATACATACACAGTTATATGTACTAGTTCATTTCCGGATAGAATCAAATGACTCTTCTTGTGATACCTAATATGCTCATTATTCACATTCAAGATATATCTGTCACATTTTATGTACAAATAAATTATATTCTGTTGCCTTTGAGTTTTTATTGTTTTTCCTTTATCCTTGATTGTATTGAGCTTTAAACGCATATGAAATGCTATCATTCAGACATGGTTGGCTTTACGATACCTCTGTTGGTAATTTTCTGATCTGGCCTTGCAATTAATGTATTGAAATATGAGTATGAACAGTACCGATCATAGTATAAACACCAACATGCAAATATATATGAACAACACCTTCTCCATCACGATTTGAAATGGCACATGAGAAGAATAATAACCTGAATATCTCATAGGGGCATATTTAGTGTCAAGTAAGGATTAGATATATGGATGAACACCTTTTGTATTACAATTTGGTTGTTAGATTCGCTACTAATTGTCATTAATACTGAACATTCAGTGTTGTGCAAGCAAGGTGTGGCTTTGTTCACGTTTCAAAATTCCTTGATCCTTGTTCAATAGGTGCACTCTTGTGAGTCTTTAGATGGCTATGTAATATGTACATAGCAAACATTTATCACCATTCAAACGAATGATCATGGTCGTATGTTGAATCAGCATTGCATGAGTTGACGCAGTGTAAAGCAGCTCTTGTTCCAAGCGTTGGTATCACGGTGCTTCATAACAGATGGGTTGTATACACAACCGTGTATATAATAGGACAGTAAAACCATGCAGATTGCGAGCTTGTTCGACAGATTATGACAATTTATGTCAGGCTAAAATGATCGAGTGTAACACCTTAATGATATTTTATGATACACTGATGACAGTAGCTAAATAGAATCTGCGAACTAGTTTCTAGGATAGAAAGAAAAAACCCGCTAGAATAAGCAGTTACAATTTTAATATTCACACACTATGATTTCACGATAATATCTCACGTTCAACATATACTAGTAATTATGTACATGGCTGCAACAACGTGAGTAATAAGAATGTGTTACCACACGCTTTCCTACTTAATGATTTCTTTTTCACACAAATATTCTGCACCGAAACTAAGATTCATTTTCTTGTTATGAAACAGGTACTTAACAGCTATCTGCGTGAGCTTATGTAGCATATCCATGTGCCGATTTCGTTCAATTACCATCCACATGTATTTACGCGAATGTATATGATACACAACCACATTCACAATACCTAGGCGCTTTGACCTGTGGAGCCTCGATGTTAGCTTGGCAAGTTTTCCTTAAGTTCGTCTTTATTCCCTTTGAAATGTAAACTGTGAATGAATGTTAGACATTGTTTCATTGTTTTCATACAACCATTAATAGCAACTGATATATCTCTGAGTTTCCCCAAGTTATTAAATAGTATAATATCACTGCATGAAAAGATTTATCTTTAAATAACAGTTGTTCCTTTTGTGAGTTTTTGTGAAAATGTGAGGGAGTATTGTCCACTCCTCTTGCAGAGCCTGGCCTATTTCGGCTAACGTAATCGGTGGCGTGGACGACGGTCACGAGCGCCAGTACGTTGTCTCGTTAGAACTATCCCAGAGACCCTTTCAGTGACAATATGCAGTGACGTTCTGGCATTTATAGCGTTCCCTCCCCATACCATGACAGCCCTACCACAAAACCTGTCATATTGCCTAACGTGGACGTCAACGCGTATCAAGAAAATCCATTTGGATTCATTTGTAAACATAATAGATGATTCCCAATGTTTCTAGGCAAAAATGAACCAATTTAGCGTCTGGCTAGAATACGTCGATTTGTTAACAGTGGACCAGTACATGGTCGATTTCAGTAACATGAAATCCGGTGTCCTGGCGCAAGTGAACAGCGATTTTGTTGCTTTTTGGGGCTACATTTCTGGTTTCTTGTCAATCAATCCGGACTTGACCTTTGGCTCCATGTGCAGGGCCGATCATTAACATATTGTGTCTGCAGGAGCCTGTTCCGAAGTCTGCAAATCAAAGGCTAATAACCATTGAAAATGTCAGCTGCCTCTCGATGACTTCTACCATTTGGAAGCAAGCCAAGAGCCCTCACATATGATCACGTTGTCGACGACGAGTCCCAAATGTAATAACAAATATTACAAATCATAAATACTCCTTTTGTAGAGAGTTAACTGTGGGTAATGAAAATCAGCAATAGTGATGTCGCAAAGGGATTTGACAACCTTGCCTTCTAGTCTCAACATCAACAATGGCCTCATCCCTAACCCACCCGGAGGAATTGCATATCGACGTGCATTAGTTGAGGTGTGCTTGGGCGATAGGGTTTTGTCCCCAAACCGTTCTGTTCCTGGTAGTCATTTTTCAAAGCTGATTCTCTGACGACCGATCATAATAATTATATTTCCTGATTAGATCGCGTACATTGATTTGGAAAGTATGTTTCGTTTATTCCTAACATATGTATTTACTATGTCGAAATTACAGGAGGGTAAGAATCACACACTAGCAACCTAATCGAAATTCTTTCGAAAGCTTTCAAATTGATGTTCAGCTTTTACACCCTGGCTCATATGCAATGGGATTCCCAATTTTTACCAAGGTATGTTTTGTACAACTTCGTGATAGTTGTTTTAATTCATGAATATACACTAGTTTGGGAATGGAGGCTTGTCTCACTACATTGTAAACTGACCAGGATACTTGTTAAAGCATGGAGGCTTGGTTTTGTTTCACATATATCACATGACTAAACATTTGGTTTGGCTCTCAGTAAGAACTAAACACTATGCTGTGACTCAATGTCCCCTGATGTGACCTGTAAATAGTTTTACAATTATACTCATACAACACGGTTTAACGTAAATGTCTTTTTATTTTGTTTTAATATTTAAGTTAAAGCTTGAGTTAATAAGTTTGCTTTAGTTTAGGCTATATATATATTGCATAGTAATCTGTTGTCGCATGTATCACTATTAATGTGTATGTGTTGTGTTGGCTAACTGAGTTAACTGATAAAGGAAACAAGCAACGGTCTATCCATTTAATAAAGTCAGTAATATGTAAAATCTGTGGATTATGATTATCTAACATTATGATAATTTCATTAAAAAAACTATATATTTTTGAAAGCCTGGGAGCTCAACATGTGCACACATGTTAAATTGTGCATTGCTACCTATAGAACGTTGTCAAATATACCTGTCAAACTATTCACCGCGTTAAACCAGCAAAGTGAGGCGTTTTATACAGCTATTCATCTCGAGTTATGGTGAGAATGAAAAGGAAAAGCATGTTTGACACATTGACACTCGACCTGTGAAACATGTTTGCCTTCATGGTAGGCGTCTCTACTGAAGTATTTCGCTTCCCGGTCCATTAACTGAACCCTGGTTGTGTTGAGGCCAATGGTGAGATCATGTCATAGTGGGCGAGTCTGCAGCTCATAATGGGCGAGTGTACATTGGAGTTTGAATGTACCCCTTCTACTTTTTCTGTTACTGTGTAACATTACTTGATTTGTATAGAAATGAACAGATTGCACACTTTATATATGCTCTATTGTCTTCAGAAAATTACCTAATTGACGTTCAATAGATTTACAATGTATATGTAATTTACATATCACTCATCGGTTTTGATTTAGTTGCTTGTTTGTTATTAAACTCTTATTTAGACCATGTGTTTTTGTTGTAAATTTAATTTGCGAATAGAAATTAGTAATGAAACATACACACAATAAATCCTTAAATGAGTAAGAGTAATACCTCCAATACGTCAACCGAGGTCGTTTAGTATACAGACCTGGTGGTTTATTTATGGGATTAACTAACCTATAACCCTCTATGGGCTCCTAAACTTCCAT